TGAACTCTTAAACAACACAGAGGAATAATCTTGACACAAAATGACTGTCGAAAGTCAGCAGTTTTTTTATCTGAAAAAATTCAGCTTAATTCTAAGTACATCAGCCTAGTCGCCTTTGAATAAATCAATGAATGAATGAATCAACAAGAAGAATGGTATCCCGGCTTTAAAGTCGGCTTTCTATCAGCAAAATATATTTAAACTCGTATTTTCATGTAGAAATATTTCGTCTCTGTTTAGCACCAGTTGCCATACTGTCGGCCTCAGTTTTGTACGTTTTTGAGCCTACAAAAACCCCCAAAACTTAGGAAACATCTTGCAACAAGGCGCAAATTCTGTTTACATTGATTCAAATAATAAAACTTTCAAGAGAAAGAAAATTCACCAGTCGTTAAACTGTAGCAACGTACACAATAATATATTGCATTGTACGAGAAATATCTCGTAAAGAGAACAAAGAAAATTTGTACTCACCTTGTATTTTCTTTCTCCATTTATTAATTCTATTGGATAAACTTCTGCTGGACTTCTGCTTTCTACGCGTTTGAGTTCGGTTCCTTTGTTGGCTGGCTTGCCCACTCGCCGGAAGCGAACAGCAAACTAGGAAATGAGTGTCTTTCTTCGTCAAATAGGGAACTTCATACCTGTACAAAAAGGCAGTGAATAAATCTTCGGAATTCTAGGCAGAATTCTACTTTTTCCATCGAGTTCAACAAAGTTTACAGCAGTTTCGCCTCATTTCATTTGACGAGATTTAACGGTCGCCCATTTCAGCTGGGATTGTTTTCGGCTCATACTTAATGTATTCTTTTGTCTAGCTCACTTCAACATTGTTCACGCTTGTTTGATTTCGAGTGATATCAACGGATATCACGCGTGTGTCCATTGTTTACCTCCGAGATAGTTGCGCTGCGCGAATAATCAGCTGCACCTTGTAAATGTTGAATACAAAACTTAATAAAATATGTGAATAAAACTACATTAGCGTCTTTTTATTTGATCCAAGTCTAAAACTTGTCACCAAAGCCCGGCATATATTGATATATGATCCAACATTTAGGGAACAAAAAAGCCAAAACGAATTTTTTTCTAAGAAAAATGATGTTTAACATACTATAGTCATGTAATGGATACCTTGCCAAGAACGCACTGTATTCTGAACGAACCGAAGCAATTATTTTAAAACAACGCTGGTATCAATAGGCAACAAGTGTGGGAAAAAGCCAGAAACAAAAGCATTTACATGTAGTGGTTTCATATCAGAGATCTCGGGTTGATTAGTCTTTATTGTGTGAGATTAGTTTTTGTGAAGAAATCGCGAAAGTAATATCTAAATTGCTTTTAATTTTGTTGCCTTATATAATTGATCTCCTTTGCTGACGCGTTTTATATTGACATGTCATTAACAAGGCTATTCCGGTATAAACTAATGATTTCCCCTCATTTATTAAGAAATCGTTTCAACGTTTCAAAAACTGATCTGACACGCTTCCAGCGTTAGGACTGGGTCTAGTCTTCTGATATGCGTCCCCACGCCATTCTGACGCGTGGCGCGCACGTGTGCTTAGTTTAAAAATTTTCCGCCTTCGCGCCAGCTGTTCGGTAGTTTGTCCTCTGTTCTCGTTTACATGTATTTTGTAGTATTAGTTGACTATTTTCCTATCTGTTGCGAAAAAAAATCACCAGCAGGCAATAGGCCATTTGTGCTAAGAGGTCAAGTGACATCGTTTTTATGAAAATGAAAGTTACACGATTTTGCCTTCGAAAAACGATTAGTGGGTCATATCTTAAACGGCTACACTTTGCGTCCAATTTTTTAGACCAAAATAACCCCAAATCTAAATATTAGCGCAAGAATGAGTTGATCTATATCAGAGATTTTGAAGCCGTTCAAAAAACTTGCAGTCGTGTATTATCAAGAGTAAAAACTCTCGACTTCGCCTCGAGTTTTTAAACCTGAGAATACACTCCTGCTCTTTTCAAACAGTACGTAAAGCATGGAACTAAAGGTTTTATTTATTTAAATATTGATTCTCGTTACTCAAGCTTGCGTCATCTAGTGAATTTTTGAACCAGGAACCCACAGGTCGCTCTTTTAACGAACACAGCAGTTTCTTTTGTTTCAGTAGTTGACACACCAAGCTAACATTAAAAAGCAATGTTTTTTAAGCAATGAGTATCGCTATTAAGGATGTAACAAACAACTGTACAGGTTATTAGTAAAGCGAAAGAAAAAAATACACACTGATATCAATAAATTATTAATTGAATTATTGATGTTGTCTATTGACTGAAAGTTGAATAGAAAAACCGCAAAAGTTATCATTGACATCATTAGTATCGGGTAAAATATGAATGCACAATGAGCATACTGTCACTCTTTGGTGGCGGAGGATAAACACATTAAAAAAAACCACTCATTTCAGCGCTTTGATTGCAGGCAATAAAATCATAAAATTTATTTTAAAACGTTATTTTTGTGCCTTCATGTTGAGATTACAGTCAAACCCGCCTAATACGGAAACCTCGTTAATATTATGGACAGTTTACTTTGTCCTTGGGGAAAGAAAGCCCTTACATTTTCTCTAAATTCATCCAGCCCCAGTATACAAATACAAACTCTACAGACTGATCTCCATATATTTCCAGCAAGAATTGGTTAAGAGAATTTGATAGCAGATCAAAGCTTTTCCCATGCATCAGGTGATTATTTTATTGAGTCTCACAACATTTTCCTTTAATTATGTATTGATTTTGTTGGGAGAAAATTGACTTTGGTCACTCTTGGGACTTAAAGCGTTAATACGGACACCTCGTTAATACACACTTTCTATGACCACCTCAGTGTCCGTGTTCCGTCTCTTCGGAATAAGTATGAGGAATGCGTGTACGAATTGAATTGTTTATTGCCAACGGGCAGCCTCGCGAGGACGCGAGGCTGCGAGGCGGTAGCCTAATAGAGCCGTGCGCGATTGTTCCAGGGGCAGAAAAAATCTCGAATCGATGTAACATAGAGAAATTTAAGGCAACCATGACGTAATGCAGGACAGAGAATACATTGTTTTCGAGCGAACACGTGATACAGATCAGAGAATCCATGAGTCGTGTGCGTGTTTTTGAGTCCCGTGCTCATCCCGTCTTCAACCAATCGTCGGGTGGATCATTTCCATCCTACGCGATATCTGTCGCATTTGCCCGCTGGAATTTTTTATTGCATGCCGCTAAGAAAAATAGTAACTCAGCGAATTTTTTTGTGTATTTGAAGCAAAATAATTCGGAAGGCTTCATTGGCGCACCATAAATTTTTTTGGCTTTAAAAAGAGACCAAATATAAGTCTGTACGTTGAATATTCGCGGACTTTAATAAGATTTTTTGAGGATTTAAAGTTTGCTTATAAGACCACTAAATTCTACGCAAAATGACTTGTGCGCAACTTCGGACAAAAACACGAACTTCAATGATCTCGAAAAATTTGCTGCGTAAAGTCGGGATTTCAAGGGGTTTTTGATCCGCGGGTTTTCCCCGTTCATTAACCCAACGGCTTTGCCTTGCTGGTGGGCCCTAATAGGGGCGAAACAGCTGTGGCTGCCATTGCCCGCGTGATATGGCTGTGCGCATGCGTGAGGTACTGGCCCGGTTGTGGGTTGATGTATATGTGCCCCTTGCTTTAAGTTTGCACTATTTTCAACGCAATTCGAATTAAATTCAATCTATTTTTCATCAATTACTGTATTTCACACATTTCTAAACAAATTAAACAGCGCACGCGTATAGGTAAAATCTTTGCTCGTTGGCACTTGGCGATAGCTATAACTAGTTTAAGTAGCATATTGAAGTCTTCTTCTACCATAACACTGGAAATTCCGTTTCATCAGAGAAATAAATGTCGTTCTGAGAACGAAACAATAGTGAACTTACGCAACAGGACGGAAGAGAAAAGACGACGACAAACATTGTGTGACAATCCGTCAAAACCTCTGAAACTTCACATTCCTTTAAACACTTTTTTTGTAGCAGAGCCGCTAATGTTAAGTGAATTCCCGATAAAACACGCAAGTTTGTCACACTCAAGCGTTTTGCCGTCCTCTTCTTTCTGCCGTCCTGTTGCGTAAACTCACTAATAGCAACAATCAGATCTAACTACGAGTATTTACGTACAACCACTCAGTAAAAATTATGAACACAATGATAAATGTTCTTGATTAAATGAAATCGGTTTGCATTTGATGATCACCATGTAACCTGTCCCAGGCTCCAAGATAGTGGTAAAAAGTCGTTCAGTAAAAAAATTTAAAAAGAAATGCGAAAAACGCGTGGGGACTGGGGAAAGACTCTCTCCCATCTTTCGCGCCGCCACCGCCCCCTTTCCCAAGTCGCGCGCGTCTTATTTTCGCTCAGCTCGTTTTAATACGCGCGCACTATACTATCTGAGAGCTTGGCACAGGCTAGTGCAAATGCTACAGAAGCGTTCTTAATAACGAGTTGAGGACTGGCGCTTCATCACAATCAATGCGACCACTGCTTCCGCTCGGTTTATCAAGTGACTCTGACCCCTACTAGAAGATCGGACAAGACACCCTAATAAGACAGACTACGAATAGTCCCCATTTTCCCTCATGGATAGTAGAGCGAGCGAAACGCGAGAGTGCGTGAAAATCATTCCTCGCTCTACTATCCCTGAGGAAAAATGGGGACTATTCGTAGTCTAAATAAGTCTCTGAACAATTGACTTTACGAAGCTCTTTAAGTCAAATTCTATCCCAAGTATCGTTCTTCGACTATTATCTGGGTACAAAACATCATTTCAGTAGCTATTTTAACAATGTATTTTTTATGTGTTGTCTGTTTAGTCACGATGTGCAGCCCTACGGACAACTGGAACTAAAAATACCGCACAAAGCAATGGCTTGATATGCAGGCTGATGACTTTACTCAGTCCCAGGGTCTCTCTCTTTCCCATCTCCTGAAGAGACTCCCTTTTGCACTGCACATACCCAGCTTATTTCCAAGTCACCGTTTTCATGCTATCTAGAGCTTTGTCGTATGGAAGCCTCTTTCCCTGAGCTGTTACGTACATCTTGTCCTCAGTTTTCATCAACCCAAGCTCTGTCACCGCCACGCTAACAGGACCTTTTTTGCCTTTAGGTTCACATCCTTTGTCAAAAGTAACGCGAGCACCTAAAAACCTCCCTTGAATGTGTTTTGGTAGTGCAATCGCAGCTCCTCTCGCCATCTTTACTCCTCTGGGTCCCACCTCTGTTATAACACCCTGAATGGGCCTACGCAGATAAACATGGAAGGTTTTCAGCTCTTCATCCCAGCGCCACATCCGTATGACTGGTTTCGTGGGGAGCACTTTGTCCAAAAGTTCTGCCCACTGCTCGCCGAACTCGCCGACCGCTTTAACGTCGTTAAGCGCTCGCCTTCGTTCCTCGTCGGAAAGCGCTCGGATCACTTCAGGATCACGTGACTCAGGGACATAAATTGGAGGCTCTTCAGTATCGATATCCGGCTCTAGCTTAAGAAAAGGTACATCCACGTTAGCCAATGACATGTCAACTTGGGAAGGGTTGTTAAATGATCCAGTCAGGTTCGTCTCTAGGACCTCAAGACAGTGTAACAGGCCCGTCCAGTCGCACTGCGCCACAGACGAACGCCACAGAGGCAGTTGAGCGATGAACGAAAACGAGAATGCAGAGTAGTGGATGTATCTTTCCAGCACTAGCAAAAGGGTTGTTCCGTTACACTCCATGTTGTTGATATCCCAAAGTTTCCAGTCTTCCCTATCTTCAGCTATGGCAGCCGAAAAGGTGTCCTGAAAAGAAAAAACGAAAAATACTTTTTAGGTGAAATTCTTTGGAAGTAGCCTAAAAAAGTACACTAGACGATAATAATATGACTGATGACGATGATGATAATAATAATGATAATAAAACACACGTCTAAAACGATGAGAGCAAGTTCTGCCTTAATTCAAGAAAACGGAAGATTGGAAAATTTTCTTAGTTTCCCGTGACTCTTATTTGACAAGGAACACAAGGTATTGTTCAATACTTATCCAGTTTGACTTTGTTACTTACTATATCAATGCTGTGAGCTCTAGCAGACAAAACCTAGTAATGGGAAACCGTTATAGATTATAGTTGTAGATGTAGATATGTGGCCTGCTATTCAGTGTGTGCTTCCTGTAGCTGCGAACTTATTGTTCGTCCTCCGCCTTACCTGCCACAAAACTTCGCCTTTGTATTGAAATTTAGTAGTCTAGAGTGACGAGAAAGACTCTCTCCTATCTTTCGCGCAGCCACCGCCCCCTTTCCCAAGTCGCGCGCGTCTTATTTTCGCTCTGCTCGTTTTAATACGTGCGCACTATACTATCTGAGAACTTGACACAGGCTAGTGCACACGCTAAAGAAGCGTTCTTAATAATGAGTTGAGGACTGGCGCTTCATGTTCAGTGGCGCAATCAATGCGACCACTGCTTCCGCTCGGTTTATCAAGTGACTCTGACCCCTACTAGACGATCGGACAAGACACCCTAATAAGACTTAGGCTACGAGTAGTCCCCATTTTCCATCATAGATAGTAGAGCGAGCGAAACGCGAGAGCGCGTGAAAATCATTCCTCGCTCTACTATCCCTGAGGAAAAACGGGGACTACTCGATAGTCTAAATAAGTCTTTGAACAATTGAACTTACGAAGCTCTTTAAGTCAAATTCTATCCCAAGTACCGTTTTTCGACAATTACCTGGGTACAAAACATTATTTCAGTAGCTATTTTAACAATGTATTTTTTATGTATTGTCTGTTTAGTCAGGATGTGCAGCCCTACGGACAACTGGAACTAAAAATCCTGCACAAAGGAATGGCTTGATATGCAGGCTTCATGACCTTACTCAGTCCCAGGGTCTCTCTCTTTCCCATCTCCTGAAGAGACTCCCTTTTGCAGTGCACATACCCAGTTTATTTCCAAGTCACCGTTTTCATGCTATCTAGAGCTTTGTCGTATGGAAGCTTCTTTCCCTGAGCTGTTACGTACATCTTGTCCTCAGTTTTCATCAACCCAAGCTCTGTCACCGCCACGCTAACAGGACCTTTTTTGCCTTTAGGTTCACATCCTTTGTCAAAAATAATGCGAGCACCTAAAAACCTCCCTTGAATGTGCTTTGGTAGTGCAATCGCAGCTCCTCTCGCCATCTTTACTCCTCTGGGTCCCACCTCTGTTATAACACAGTGAATGGGCCTACGCAGATAAACATGGAAGATTTTCAGCTCTTCATCCCAGCGCCACATCCGTATGACTGGTTTCGTGGGGAGCACTTTGTCCAAAAGTTCTGCCCACTGCTCGCCGAACTCGCCGACCGCTTTAACGTCGTTAAGCGCTCGCGTTCGTTCCTCGTCGGACAGCGCTCGGATCACTTCGGGATCACGTGACTCAGGGACATAAACTGGAGGCTCTTCAGTATCGATATCCGGCTCTAGCTTAAGAAAAGGTACATCCACGTTACCCAATGACATGTCAACTTGAGAAGGGTTGTTAAATGATCCAGTCAGGTTCCTCTCTAGGACCTCAAGACAGTGTAACAGGCCCGTCCAGTCGCACTGCGCCACAGACGAACGCCACAGAGGCAGTTGAGCGATGAACGAAAACGAGAAGGTAGAGTAGTGGATGTATCTTTCTAGCACTAGCAAAAGGGTTGTTCCGTTACACTCCATGTTGTTGATATCCCAAAGTTTCCAGTCTTCCCTATCTTCAGCTATGGCAGCCGAAAAGGTGTCCTGAAAAGAAAAAATGAAAAATACTTTTTAGGTGAAATTCTTTGGAAGAAGCCTAAAAAAGTACACTAGACAATAATAATATGAATGATGACGATGATGATGATAATAATAATGATAATAAAACACACGCCTAAAACGATGAGAGCAAGTTCTGCCTTAATTCAAGAAATCGGAAGATTGAAAAATTTTCTTAGTTTCCCGTGACTCTTATTTGACAAGGAACACAAGGTATTGTTCAATACTGATCCAGTTTGACTTTGTTACTTACTATATCAATGCTGTGAGCTCTAGCAGACAAAATCTAGTAATGGGAAACCGTTATAGATTAAAGTTGTAGATGTAGATATGTGGCCTGCTATTCAGTGTGTGCTTCCTGTAGCTGCGAACTTATTGTTCGTCCTCCGCCTTACCTGCCACAAAACTTCGCCTTTGTATTGAAATTTAGTAGTCTAGAGTGACG